AACATTCAAGGTGGATACATTTTCTTATCCATTAATCAAACTCCCATTTATTTAACCGGCATTCTTATAACAAATCCTGAACAAAAGCCCAGAAAAATAGATAAATCCCATTTTATATATTTCGATGTTAATTCCTTTTTCTTTTTCTTTTTTTTTAAGGAGCCGCCATATTGTTTTGACCAACGCGAATAAATTTGCATCAACGCCATAATCATTTTTTCGATGCTTCTCCTTAATTTTGAGATGTGGAAGAAATTATTTGAAGGAAAATTTATCTAATTTGTCCCTACATTCCAGATTCAATGTAATTCGATCTTCGTTTTCCTTACAAATTGTGAAAATATCTAATTTTCCGAGGGTCTAAACGAAGTTCGAACATCGACCAATGGCGCCAGTAGGGAAGGAAAAAAAAACTTCCTAAGAGTATATCGACTGTATTTAATGGTATACAACACCAGTGGGGTTTCTAAACTCAACTTCCATTTCAATGAGAATGATAACATTACAGATTCGTCTTTGAATTTTAGAGATCCTTGATAAATTCGAAAGAAGAATCTGCAATGTTATTCGTCCTGACCTGGCATATATATATATATATATACCCATTTAAAATTTTGAAATCTCATTCCTGCTCCAACTTAAACTCTTAAATATAATACTACTTTGCTTAAAATTATATCATGTTTTCTGAAGTTATTCAACATCGCTCGAAAATGGAACAAAAAAATTTAATTTTAATTTTAATTTTTAGTTCCGAAACATAGTAATTTCTGTGTCTCGATGAAAACATTTTAAATAATAATATAATAATAAGCTCTACTTTGTATCTAGCATTTTTAAAAAAAACAAATGCTAAAGAACTGTGGATTATTAATGTGATTATTCTTTATATATATATATATATATATATATATATATATATATATATTGAATATTGCTGTCACATCTTGTCTTGCGTTTCGACTATGTATTTATTTTCATAAAATCCAACGAAGAATCTGCAATATTCTTTTATTGTTCTCTCTTCTTAATCGTATTGTCTTTCTCATAGTATCTAATACTTAGTAATCCCTTGCGTCTTAGTGACTTTATTGCCTTGCTTGCGGTGATAAGGTTCGATAAGGTCAAATTGTCAGCTGATCTAAAAAAAAATGATCTATTTTCTGTTGTTAACTGAAGCAAGGAAAGGCTTGTTAATTTTTAACGCTTCCAAAACGAAATGATTCTCTTTGAACCGTCTTCGAGAGTCATTTTTTTTTTTACTTCCATCAATATGAAAGATGATAATCTTCAGGAGAATGAATCATTGCCTCTTCTTGTGTTTACCTTTTTCCCTGACATGAAGTGGAAAGATTAGATTGAATCAATTGCTAGGTCTCATCAATTTGCATTTAAAATGGTTAGATGTAACCGTAAGTTCTATGATGGAAGCTTCTTCTCATTTGTGGAACTCTCTTCCGGCTTCTTGCTTCCCAGTCAACTTTGATCTTCATAAACTTAAATGTAATGTCAATCATTATCTTCTGTCTTTATTGCCTTTGATCTTCAAACATTTAAATGCAATGTCAATCATTATCATCTGTCTTCTTAATTCTTCTTCTTTTATTGTCCTCTCTCCTTAATAGTAGTTTTTCTCATATTCCCTAACACAAAGTAACCCCTTGCGTCTTAGTGGCTTTATTGCCTTTGATCTTGAAACATTTAAATGCAATGTCAATCGTTATCTTCCATCTTCTTAATTCTTCTTCTTTTATTGTCCTCTCTACTTAATAGTAGTTTTTCTCATATTCTCTAACAGTCAGTAACCCATTGCGTCCTAGTGGCTTTATTGCCTTTGATCTTCAAACATTTAAATGCAATGTGAATCGTTATCTTCTGTCTTCTTAATTCTTCTTCTTTTATTGTCCTCTCTCCTTAATAGTAGTTTTTCTCATATTCTCTAACACACACTAACCCCTTGCGTCCTAGTGGCTTTATTGCCTTGCTTGTGGTGCAATGATTTAGAATAAAAAAAAGCTAAATAATAAGTTGTTTCCATGCAGAAAACAACCGGCATCAGTTAGCCGAAAATCTATTTCCACTGCCAGTTGAAAGTTATAAAATCGTTTCCATAACAGTTTTTCAGGAAATTGTCTTCTCACGTACAGTAACTGTCATGGATCTTTCTAATTTTGAAAGAAATTTTCTTCAAACTTTTTTTTGGTTTAATGTGAAAAGTCAATTTTCTTTTGTTGTTTCTGTTAGAAGGATTCGAATAATGTGGGTTTTGTTATTTGGTACAGCTCAAGATTGTATAGCACCAATCTATAGTTTAAAGCTTAGTTTGGGCTAGGTATAAAACGGGGATCAATTGTCTTTTGTTAATAAGCAGTAAACAGCGAAATAGCTAAATATTAAAATCATAAATGAAAAAAATATATATTTACTCAAAAATATATTTATGTGAAAATTTAAATAGCCTATTTTCCTTCCATACATGATCCTCCATGCCTGATTCCAGTGTCTTAACCTTACTTTTGGCTTTTCATTGTTCCCCCCTGCTTTACTGTTAGGGGGCGGTAAGTTTCCTAGATCCCTGTAGTGATACAAATTTACACTCAGTGGAAACAAGGACAGCAATAAATGAGAAGTACTAAAAATAAGAACTAAACGAGATATCCCTTTTAACCTGAGAACTAGAGTCATGTGTTCAAATAGCCTATATATAGCCTATAATAGTCTCTGTTCTCAGACCAATAATTAAATATGGCTTTATGCAAATGAATTTTCTTGGTACAAAAGGAGAGAATCCTTCGTCAAATCTTATCTTATCTGGTGCAACGGTACTCCGTCATTTGGCCGACGGACATTTGTCCGACAGACATTTAACTGAATGGAAATTTAACCAAAAATTTAGTGGCCTACTTACATGTATGTCACACACTTTATCGTAATGTGCTGCATATGTTTATATTTACTGTATTAATTTATAATTTTTCGTTTTAGGCCTTTTTTTAAAAATCTATTCTGTATATATTATATTTTGTTTCAAATATTACTGTAAGATGATAAGTTTTTTGGAGGAAAAAGCACATTTTAATACAGCAAAAATTTTAAGCTTTTACGATATGAAAGATCTTTCAATATCGCTTTTAATGATCATTATCTTAAAGGGATGAACTAGCTTTTACCTTACTGTTAAATATGGATTTAAATAATTAAGTGCTACTTTTTATCCAAATACATTCAAATATTTTAAAATTACTAATTTCAGTAAATAAATATTAAAATAAAACATTTAACTTTAAATTTAGATTTTTTACGGGTTTTTAAAAAAAACTATTCTGTATATATTTTATTTTACTTCAAATATTACTGTAAGATAATAAGTAGTTTGAGAAAAAGCGCATTTTACTATAGAAAAAAATCTTAAGCTTTTACGACGTGAAAGATCGTACAATTTTGCTTTTAATGATCATCAATCTTAAAGGGATGAACTAGTTTTATCTTACTGTTAAATATAAATTTAAATAATTAGGTGCTAATTTTTACCCAAATACACCCAAATATTTTTTAAAATGCTAATTTCAATAAACAAATATTGAAATAAGAAAACTATTAACTATAAATTTAGTAATTTAATCACTTGAAATTCATTGGTAATTATTAGTCCTATTCTACCTTATAATACTGCTAATTAAAATACTTAAAGTTTGCTTGGTACTATTTTTACTTGTACTTTTTCGATTGTATATGTTTAGATATTTCCTAAAGGGTTGTACGCCATACATGATATATACACGTATATTCTGCTATATATATATATCTATCTCTCTCTCTCTCTCTCTCTCTATATATATATATATATATATATATATATATATATATATATATATATATAATAAAAAAACAAAAACGTTGGGAGAACAAACGAACAACTTACCAAAAGACCTAAATATCCTTAATCAAGATAAAAGCTCGACGTGATTATATATATATATATATATATATATATATATATATATATATATATGCTGTTTCTACGTAATTTTTATAGATACAAATATTTAAGTAAATACTCTGTTATAATAAACAGTATCAACTACATTTACCGGCCTGAATGTCCGAGAAATTTCATGGAAAATATGTGTTCTCCAACAGGAATCGAACCTGTATCCTACACGGAACCGTCATTTGGCCTGACGTGCTATACTATTTAGCTACAGAGGAAGCGTCTGGTTAGCAATGTCAGATTACTGTTTTTAAACTACAAATTTCCCATGACTTTTTTCGAACGTTCATATCTGCTCGAAGTGTACCTTAACGTAAATGATAGCATATATTATGAAATGCAGTAAATTGTCGGACTTCGTCCATTTCATAATACACACACACACACACACACACACACACACACACACACACACACACACACACATATATATATATATATATATATATATAAGCTAAATTTGAAATCAGTCGCGCATACCCATTAAGTTATAACACTATCGTTCATTTCCATTCTTTATAGCAGTGCTTGGAAGGAAAGTGTGTAGAGTGTGGTCGTCTCACCACACCACAGAATTTCCATCAGTGACTGTCTTTGCAGTAGTTTCTGGCCAAGCGCAACATTCATCAGTTCCGACGAACACCATATTCTCCAGATCTCGCCCTTTCGGACATTTCCTCTTCAAAAATCAAATCCCACTTGAAAGGAACAAGATTTCAAGACATCGAGAAAAACAAGAAAGAAAAAGAGTTCCAGGAAGGCTTCCATCAATGGAAACAACGCTAGGAAAAATGCGTGGCTTCAGAAGGGGGACTACTTCGAAGGAGATTAAATGCCGAATTGATATGTGTTGTAGTTTTCTTTCTTTTTTTTTTCTTTTTTTTTTCTGTTAGTACTGATACTTCATGATCAGACCTAGTATATAGTACACACACTTGTGCAAATTAATTGAAACAACCACTTTAATTTACTTTCTTTCACCATCCGGTCAATTTTAGACCCACTGGAGTTACACGGGTGTGATCGATTTCTATTTTTTACTCAGATTATATCATTCGCCTTGGTGTGCAGTAATATGAATCTATTTTCGGGCTGTATGATGAAATTTGTTTAGCCTTGAAAAATACTGGGTCATCTGCGATTGCATTAGATTTTCATCACGCCCAGACACTATTGTCTCGACTGTCGATTATTTGTCCCACGGCCATTATCTGCGATGGACGTTACTCCAAGGAAGCGTACGAAAATTTTAACGCTGCACGAATACACTGGCAAGCCTTACCAGTGAGCAAATCAAAGTACTATCGACTGGCTCAGAAATTTTAGTGATTTAAATCCAATCGAGAATCTGTGGGGAACGATTTTGTTGAATGGACATACGAAGTACTAACATGTACACTGGGTCATGTTTTATTGGGAAAATACGAAAAAAGTAAACAATAACGGTATTATTCGTTGTGTTTCAATTAATTTCCACAAGGGTGTATGTATAAAATTTTCCTACGTCAACAGAGGAGTCCACAACGTAAAAATCCATAAATTACCCCCTCTCTATGCAATGAACATTGCTGATTTCTTTATAGAAATTAAATTTGTGTTCAGGAAGACAAATAAAACGCCATATATTTTTTGTTTTTGTCGTAATTTATGTTCGCTCACAGATTATATTAGCTGATAATTACGTCGATAGCAATTTCGTAATTTTATTTTGTGTCTATGTCAGACACTTAAATATATCTGTTCTTCTTTTTATTAACAGCTCGGATTGAAGTTTTAGCAATAATAATGGTGATCATGATATTTCAGCAAATAATATTCCAGTATAATGGAGTCAAGCGAGGTTCAATTACTTATAGTCACTCTACGGCGTCTGGAAAAACATTAGCTTAACAGAGACGTCGACATTTTATAGAAGACCCAACATACTATATTGATATTTGAGCAAATAAAATTGCAGCATTATGGAGTGCGGTTAGCTACAAGCACTGGTATTTTGTGGCGTTTAAACACGGGTTCCCTTTCGATCAGCGAAGTTAAGCAGCGTCGAGCCTGGTCAGTACGTAGATTGGTGGCCGTTTGGAAGTAACAGGGGCTGTAAGCTTGGATTTACTGGCGGTCTAATGGATAATCGCCCGGAATTGTTAATCCGAGAACCGATTTACAATTTCATTTGGATTCCTTATATTCACTTACGCGAAAATAACCTCAGGAAAGGGTATGAATCCACCTCTCCTCCCACCAGCTATGGGTTAATTAGTAAAACTTGCATTAGTCAATCAGTTATGTGCCTTGCATGATACACGCTTAGGCAATCATGTATCTTTTGATACATAACTGACGAGGCAGATTTTTTTCTTGCAGTTGTTTGCTATTTCATTTTGTGGTAGACCAGCTACCATCCAAGGCTATAGAACACGGTCTGCCCTACTATCTACCCATAGCTGGATGGGGGGGAGAAGAAGAGGATTCATACCTTTCCCAAGCGTATTAGCACGTAAGTAAATGCAATGGATTCGACTGGATTTCGAACTCGGCTCTCAATCCGAGCTGCTATTACTCCACCGTTTAAATATACTTTTTCCAATTGTATAAATATGTAAGATGAGGGATCACTTTATTACTTAAACACAATAGAAAATCGATCCCCGATCCTTCCAGCAGAATCAAATTAATACTAGTTAAACTGATGTCAAAAATGGCATATTTTGTTATTAGAATGTTTTTACATGTAAGTCTTTAAATATCAACCAGTTAGTTATGAGCCATGCATGATACACGTTTAGGCGATCATGTATCTTTCGATACATGACTGACGAGGCAGATTTTTTACCGCAGTCGGTTGCCATTTCTTTCTGCGGTAGACCAGTTGCCATCCAAGGCTATACAACCAGGTCTGTCCTGCTATTTACCCATAGCTTTAGGTGGGGGGAGAATAAGAGGATTTATACCTTTTCCCAAGAGTATTAGTACGTCAGTCAGTCAGTTATGTGCCATGCGTGGTATACGCTTAGGCGATTATGTATCTTTCGATACATGACTGACGAGGCAGATTTTTTCTTGCAGTTGGTTACCATTTCTTTCTGTGGTAGACCAGTTGCCATCCAAGGCTATAGAACCTGGTCTGTCCTGTTATTTACTCATAGCTTGGTGGGGAGAATAAGAGGATTCATATGTTTCCCAAGGGTATTCGCATGTAAGTGAATGTAATGGATTCGACTGTGTTTCGACCTCGGCTCTCGAATTCCTCAATCCGAGCCGCATTGCGTCTCTAAACCATTATCATCTCCAAGAATAAAATAACGGGTAAAGGTCTCAACCCGCGAGCTATTTCTCCTGTAATTTCTGTATGAAGTAGGTTTTTTTTTTAGGGTGTGAAATTGCGAGCCCTGCGCCAAATTCGTTTTGAATTCTACTTTCTTTCTTTCTCGAAGACTGTTTACCAGTGAAAGCTCGAACTTCGTCTGCCTTAGTATTAATCCATAGATTGGAGTAGAATAGATGGATTCGGACTTTTCCAAGGGCATTTCTGTGAAAGTTTGAACTCAACGCATTTATTCCATTTTCAACACTCGTTATATACAACAATATTCAGCAAACACTAATGAATATCCGACTATCCCACCACATACCAAACATTACCTTTCTTCCCTGGAGTTCTGCTTTGAATATTGAGCAAACATGGATCTTCGTGCGCGCAAAACCAAAACGCAGTGTCAAAATGACGGCTTTTCCCTTGACACCGCTATTATTTTACCTGTTATTATTTTTCGGTAAAGTTTATGGTTTTAAAAAGCGCTGATTTGAATTGGAATAAAACGTAAACATGATGAAAGTGAATTTATACATTTTTTGTTCTTGACAATATATAATAAGAATGTTAAACACTATTTATTAGATTTTTTATTTACAAGAATAATTTTATATTTACAACATTCTAAAAACTAATACAATTAAAACTAATGCAATATTTATCATCTACCAATTTATAAAGAAATAAATATGAAAGCAATTTTTTATCCATAAATTTTATAAACATTTACAAAATTATTAAAATCTGTGAACCAACTCTAAGGAAATCCTTATTATTTACCATTTTATAAAGTTTGAATCAAGTACAATTAGCCAATGTTTTGTAAACCATTCCAATAAATAATATAATAAATAAATAGTGTAAGTAAAACGTCTAAACAATTTTTTCTTACTTAATTTTCTAAGTCCACCAAAAAATGAATCTAAGAACTTGAAAGGATCACAATGAAAACTAATCGACATGATATGGCTAAATTATTTAACCAAACCTGTTTTAATAAACAATCTAATAAATAAATAAATAAATAAATAGTGTTTATTTTTTGTTGTCAATTCTCAAGAAGAAAGAAAATTTATAAATTCACTTTCATACGTTTAGATTTTATTAAAATTCTCATCATTGCTTTTTAAAAGAATAAGCATTGCCGAGGAGTAAAGTTAGTTAAAATTAGAGCGGTGTTATTAGAAAACCTGTCATTTTCACACACTGTTTTTGCGCGCACCAATGTCCATGTTTGCTCAATGTTTAACACAGAACACAGCGGATTGACAATGATAAATCTTGTTTTATTGGGTAGCTCTTCGTAGCCAAATGGGAAAAGCACGTCAGGTCAGACAATGGTTCCTCCTGGAAAGAACGGCATGAAATGGAATCATGCTGGAGGGTACATTTTTCAGTAGGTATTCTCTTCTACGAAGGCTGGTAGGCGAAATACTATTTAAAATAAACGCACCGTCTACTCAGATCCGAGTATGCAATAAAAATAACGTCTAATATAATAATAATAATAATAATAATAATAATAATAATAATACATACACATATACTAAAATATTGTGTCAGCCCAAAATGCAGATTCTGTGATAAATATCCAGAAACAATTGATCATATTGTATCAGGTTGCACGATATTGGCACCCACTGAATATAAAACTCGGCATGACAGAGTGGGCCAATATCTGCACTGGAAAATCTGCAACTTCTACGGGAAGGAAACTGAAAGAAACTGGTATGAACACCACCCAGACCTGGTTACGGAGATAGGACTTTTTTACAATTCTATGGGACTACACAATACACACTGACAGAACAATCAAGACCAACCGCCCAGATATTGTTATTAAAGACCACAAACAAAAAAAGTGCCTCCTTATTGATATGGCAGTCCATGCTGACTGCAATGTATCTTTGAAGATATTCAAAAAGCTGTCAAAATACAAGGACCTTGAAATAGAAATCTCGAAAATGTGGCATATGGGAACATCAACAATCCCTGTTGTAGTTGGAGCCCTAGGATTGTTTGGAAAAGATTGCAGTAGACTAATTGAAGGGATTCCTGGAAGTCCATGCCTCAAAGAGATACAAAAAATTGTTCTCACAAGTACAGCCCACACTTTACGAAGGGCTTTATCTAGGTAATTTTTTATTTTTTTATTTTTTGTCAGTGGAAAGTGTCATGATGCCATTTCTAACGTGAGGTCCCTGGGCGGGATCCGGAAAGAAATGTGTAAACGCCAGAAATCAAAGGAAATCAAAATAATAATAATAACAATAATAATAATAATAAACAAAATAATTGACGTAACTCTGTCGATGTTTTTCAATAGTTAAAGAGAAGGGCTCCATTTAAAAAAGATAAATAAAGAAAAAACACAGTACGGTGGAACCTCGGTTCACGAATTTAATTCGTTCCTGGAAGCCGTTCGTAACCCGAAATGTTCGTAAACCGAAACTATTTTCCAATAGTGGAAAAGAAAACACGCCACAACACACGAATTTATACAACATGGCGGTCGACTCAGAAATTATTCCGTTCGTATTAACTCGGTTCAGCTATGTTGTTCGAGAACCGAGGCATTTTTATCTCGAATTTTCTGTTCGAAAACCGATTTGTTCGACATATGAGACGTTCGAGAATGAGGTTGCACTGTATTTGACAATTTTAAGCGTCCATATTGAAAAGGACATTGGAATTTGGGATGGTTGTAGTCCCGAAAAAACTGGTAAAAGAGAAAAGCTGTGCGCAGTGCAACAACATGAGTCAAGTTAATTCTATCACAAATTCAAAGAGAAACATTACAATTTCTACAGAGGATGGTAATTCTACTGATTCCTATTTAATATACGCCACCCAATGTACCAAACATGACTTAAAAAATTAAATAAAACACTCAATGGATACAAGTATGATGTCAGACACAATAATGTCACATCAAGGGAGCTTGCAGAATATTTTATTACAAACGACTGTAATTTCAACAAATATCTTAAGGTACACATTCAGAAAAAATATTCAGAATCTACCGACCTGTCGACTCTTAAAATGCATGAGGATTATTACATAAGCAAATTAGTAACTTCACACCCCAGAGAGTTCCATAAGATTTATATTAAACTGTTTGATTGATTCCTTTTAGTAATTAGTCAACTAACGAAAAACTTCAATATGAACAAGATCGCCATCTTATTAAGCACTTTCAGTTTCATGCCTTCACGTTGGTGGCGTTGGATTCAATTTGATGCTTTCATTACCAGGACAGCCGTTTTTCATTAAAAGACAAGTAATGTTTGTACAAAGCCTTATAATAATTTTTTTGTAGATTTGTATATATGTTTAAACTTAAAAAAATATATATTATATAATCATAATAGAGTATAACCCGGATATAAGAGACCCGGATATAAGAGAAACCCGGATATAAGAGTGATTTTCTCTGGTCCCAAATTAGAGCCTGTTTTAATGTATATAAATTAGACCAAACCCGGATATAAGAGAAACCCGGATATAAGAGACTTCTTCTCCGGTTCCGACAACTTTCTTATATCCGGGTTACACTGTAGTCTCATCCACACGTAAAAAAAGATTAAAAACAATTGAAGAACTCGTAATAAAAAAAGGAGATCACCATTATATTAAATACGTTTCAGTTTCATGCCTTCCAGCTGGCAGGGTTTCATTCATTTTGACGCATTCATTCCCAGTACAAATTGTTTTTTTTTTCCTTACGAAACAAGCATCATTTGTTTATTTGTTTAGCGGCATATCAACACTGTTGGAGAACGCATTTTT